GCCGCGCCCCGCTCCGCTCCGCGCGCAGGCGGATGGCGTCATCACGTCGCCCCGCCCCCTTGCCAACGCTTTCCTTGCCCCAACGTGATCTGGCCTCCCTCCCCCATGCACCGGCTTCCGAGTGCGCAGGCGCAGGCTCGTCCGCGGTTTCCGCCTCTGCGCAGGCGCCATGCCCCGCCCACGGCGGTCGGCCATATAGAGGCTGGGGGGTGGGGGAGGTCAAGCGTAGCCTCGTCTCCTTTACCAAGATGGCGGCTCGTCCCTGTTTCGCCACAGTTCCTACCTTATGAGCTTGGTTCCCTTACGCTGGTTAAGAGTGGAACAGGTAATGAGTCTTTGCCTTGTGGGTAACTAGAATGAGGGGAAGAGCATTTCTTTAGATGGAGCTGTATGAACGGTGAGGAGAAGAGACGCGGATCGGGGGGAGGGCAGGTGACGCTGAGAGTTCGGAGCGACCGTGGGGAGGGGACCCTTCTCTTCTGGTCCGCTCCTCCAGGAAGATGGCGGCAGCACCGAGCCGGGAGCGCCGGAGCAGGGCCGGCGAGGGACCGGCGAGCCGCCCGGTTGGGCCGCTCTAGCCGTGGGTCGCCGTCGTCTCGGTGGTCAGGGCCTCGCCTGGATTGGCTGCGGCGGGTCCCGTGGTCGGCGGGCCAGTGCGCGACCATAGAGTTGGGCGCCTGTCCCCGGGGACGTGGCCTTCGTGCGCCCGGGGCTGGGGCCTGCGCCCGCGGGGGAGGGCGGGTGCCGCGGCCCCTCGCTTCCGCTAGGTGAGACCTGGGGCGCCCCAGCCCCTGCGGCGGCGCGGCTCGGGGCGGGAGCGCGACATGCCCGACCCGGCCGGGGTGTCCTTCCTGCCCGGCGCGGCCTGCAGGCTGGCGGATGTCCGGTACTCGCTGCGAGGCCGGCGCGGGTGCCCTCGTGCAGGAAGCCTTCCTAGGTCACCCCGACTGAAGCAGACACGTTCCCTGGGTCTCTGGTGGGCGACAGCGCAGGGGGGACCGGAGACTGTCCCCGAGCGCAGGGGACACGAGGGCGTTGTAGAAAGTGGCGAAGTCGTCCGGCCTGGCCGCCATGTGCCCCCCGACCCCGAAGTGCTGTGTGGGCAGTGCTCCTGGTCAGGTGAAGATCTGCAGGGAGGAAGAGGGACGAGGGGAAGTCTTCAGGAGCAGGAGGGCTTACCCTTCCGTCTTGGGTTTGGGTATCCTCGGCTTCATAGCTGCCTTAAGCCCTCGGGCGCTGAGCTCGCGTGTGCTCGGTGTCCGCCTCAGGGCCGGCAGTCACGTCTTGGCAGGTAACTTTCTTAAGGCCCTGTTCAGATAGGGGACGTCACAATTAGGGTTTCGTCTGATGTACCACAAAATAGGCTTAGTGTTCGTTTATGGAAGCAAACCTGGGACAATGAAGTCCCGGATGAAACCTCGCGCTTAGGTTTATATTTTGATCATCTTAAACACTCTAAACACCCCCAAGCAGAGCTCATTAAGCACGTTTAATATTAGGGTGCTTGGAAGCAGTGTTTTGAAGTAGTTGAGCCGGTGTTTGGTTCGGAATGGCTTCCATCATTTTAGCTTCCCGTTCTCGATCTGAGGCACCAACCATCAACCTGCCGTGAGAGCCTTAGGCTTGGCGAAGGCCGCTCTTGCCCCCTCAAGTCTTGAGAGACAAAACTTGAAAGCGATTGAAATCAGTGGAGGTTAAACATTCTTGTACCTGCCATGGGTCCTGTTAGGTGCCAGGCACCCTGTGGGACCTACGTCCTCTTCTCTGACGTGGTTGATGTCACCTGAGTAAATGTGCATTGACTGTAAGGACCGCAGCCTCAGATGCAGTTGGTCCACATTCCTGGGCCCCTTGAGGCCCAACTGGACCGTCACCGTGCCCTCTCCAGGGGGTCCAGCTGACTTCTCAGCATCCTGGAGGGAGAACTTGAATCATCAAGTGTTTTTTCCTTTGGTTTTGTTGTTTGGGGCCTCTGGTGGTCTGACTTTGGCCTCATGATTTGACTTCTTCAACAGTAAAAAAAAAAATTGTTTTGAAAAATTTATTGGAAATTGCTATATGGCAAACACTGTTAAGGGGTCTGGGGTTGCAAAGGTGAAGAGAACGTAGACTTTTTTTCCTCCAACAGTTTATGGCCTAGTGTGGGAGATTCACTTGTACAGGAAGAGATTACAGTGTTCTAAGTGCACTAATGGAAAGATGTACAAGGTGTGAAGATAGGAAAAGGGGAAGTGATTACCTGGTGGAAAGTCTTCAGAGAATGTGGCTCTTGGACTGGGGTTTAGAAAATGAGTAAGAGTTTTTCCAGGTGGAGTAGGTAGGATGGGGTGTTCTAGACAGGAAGACCAGCTTATGCACGGGGGGCGGGGGATACACAGGACAACTAGAGCTGGTGGACTATATGGGTGAGTGGTGGAGAATGTGGTTCACTGCTGACCGTCTCAAACAGTGGAGGGCTTGGCTAAGATCCTGTTGTGAAGGACTGCATCCCCTCAATCAGTCCTGTCTAAGACACTCTGACTTGGACCGGATTTCAAATGATTACACTGTCCACCAAGATAACTGAGATCTTTAGTCACAAGTGGGTCAGGTAGGTTCGCCATTAGTGCTTCCCAGCTGAAACTTGTTTACCTAGAGGGTTTGAACAGAGAACACC